GGGGGGGTCGGAAATCGCAATAAAATTTTGAATTTTTTAAAAATATTTAAAAATTTCTGTGTCGCTTATAGTCACCCTACTTTAAACCCTTGTCCTCCCGAGACGTCTATGAGAATGTCCCGGGAAATCCGACTCCAGCTGTGTTCAAGGTCACCCAGCTGTGTAAACAATGACTCATCGGTGTTAAATTTCACAGAAAGGCAAAACAAAGGAAAATAAAATTTGAAGGTTTTTCTTCAAAATTAACGCATTTCTTTCGTTTATTTTCAGTTTTAAGTATTTTTAATGTATTTTAATATTAATCTTATATCAATTTAATTAATGATCGGGAATGAAGGGGTTAATTTGTTATGTTGTACTAACTCCAGCTTTATGTAATACTTTGTAACAAACTAAGATTCAAACAATAAAGAATTGAATTTATTTACATGCATATTTATTTACCCATTATACCCTTGAGTCAATGCCAATTCTATCAGCTTTTATACATAAATTAACTAAATTTTTATATTGATTTGTTTTTTAAATTTTTATATTTATTCAATTAAGAGATGTTTAAGCTTACTTTTGATGTTACTGGTGAGCATACAGGAGAATTCAATTGAGGGTCAAATGTAGCTTGTGACTTTCCACTTAGGGATTTAAGTGATGATCCTGAATCTTGTAAACTGCGTTGAATTTGATCATAAGCTTCTCTTTGTGAAGGAACAGGAATGGGTTCTGAACGTGGATATGATGATTGCACTTTACTAGGTGATACAGACACAGGCAATGTATCTGGTCTTATAAAAAACTTCAAGTGATTATTTGTTGTATTACTTGGAGCAGAAATAGTATCTGAAGCATCATTTAAACCACCATTTGAAAGTACGTTCTTTGATGAGCTATATTTTGAATAGAAGGAAAAAGTTTAATCTTATTAAATTTATATTAAAATATAATCATATCAAATATATATTAAAAATTACAAATTATATTGTAAAGTTAATAAATGCAGTGATAAATATTAGATATTAATATTAAAAAAATTTATTTTTTACTTAGAATATTTTATGAAATAATTCCTAAAACTTGATTTTGTAATATGATAACTACAAGAAAAAGTTTCAAATGGAAAAGATGCCATCATCAAAATAAAATTTGTAGAGTTTTAAATATAAATTACAAGAATTTATTATTCTCAGTTTTATCATCATATAAATTTAAATGACAACAAAACTGAAAAAATTATTACATACTGTAATGGTCTGAATTTTGACAAAAATCAATTGTTGTCATACTTGTTCAATAATTGTTGTCATTACTACCTGAGAGAATCTCCACTTACACTTTCTCGACGGCAAAAATGACACATTCCCATAACCTGCTGACCTCTTGGCTGGGCAATATCATGCTTATAGCATAATTAATGGCCAAAGAGTCAATTGCCATTTAGTTCTCCCTGACTCAACAAGTTGCCATTCAGTTCTTCCTGAGATAAAAAGTCACCGGATGATCCCAAAGGATAGTCATCATCAGAGCTTCTAATCTGTTAGCCAGTTCAGGACCTCCTATATTACCTTAACCTTGCCCATTCTCCATACAAAGACTCCTCCAGCAACGGATATCACCTATCCCACTAGCAGATATTGCCAAATCTCCAAGTTGTCTAATTTCAAACTGTCCGCACAACAACCCTACTTTAGATGAACTTCGTAGTTGAAACGCGACAACCAGATCCTTCAACTACAGGTATTTATCGCCACACAAACCTCATGTAAACTCTCTCTCTCATGACCTCCTACCATGTTTAGGTCAGTTATTTCAATATAGTACAATGTATATATCATCTAATTCTTTTTCCTTTACAAATAAATGATGGTTTAGTTAACCTAGTCTCTGCGTTCATCCCTTCCTGCTTGCTAACTCACAGTCTCCAACCCAAATCTGATTGCTCATTCATGCGACCACTCGTGTGACCTATTTTCTAATCAAACAGCCGTGACAGCTTCCGTGTCAAGTGGGATATGGTGGTGTCAGTCATGACAGGGCACCAAAGAGGTGCTGACCCTCTAGTCACAATACTATGTAGTTGTTAAACTACACAATACACAATAAAATTTTATTTTTAAAAATACAAAAAATTAATTATATTAATGAGATTAATAAAATTATAGCACTGCATCTCAATAAGATATTATGATAAAAAAATGCATACTGATACATGCCAGATTGATCATACTATTAGAAAGCAAAAAGGGAGAAAAAATTCACTTAGAATAATATTCCTTAGATCAAGAGTTTAACATTGTTGTTTTTGGATATGTTTTATATAAAATATAACTTTAATATATACTGATTTATTAAAAACAAAATATATTAAAGCACACTCTTTTTTTTTTTATAATAGAGAGGTTGCGACCGATGTTTTCAATGTGGAAATAGGTACGTTGGACATTCAGAAGTTTGACAATGGCGTTTAAAATGTCAGTGGAATCAAGCTCAATGTTCCAAATGCCATTGTTAAAATTCTAGACTCACAAGAAGGCAGCGCTGAATGTCTGACGTACCCATTTTCGCATTGAAAATGTCAGCCACAACCTCTATATTGTCTACTTGGACCGTGTTTATAAATAGGACTTATTATTCTGGTGTAGTTTCTGATTAGCAAAGAGAGGAAGTCTTAATCAAAATAGCTTTACAGTAGAGCGTCGTTTATCTGAAAGCTGGTTATCCGAAATGTCTGTTATCCGAAAGCATTCCAGTCAGCAAATTTAAATTTTCGCTAGTGCTGTGGCGCTGCAATCTTCGGCTATTTCTCAGGCTACTCAAATATTTTACGTTTTTGATACTAAATTAACATCTGAAGTATAATTTTTTATTGTTTTTATATTTTTCAATATATTTATTCTGTTTGTACAAAATAAAAAAATAATTTTTAACGATACAATAGTCTTTGTTAGGCTTAACATAGACGAAAATTCAACGCGAAGCGACACGCAACAGAGAGAAATTTCAACATGGGATAAATTAATATATTTTTTCGTACATGATTCGTTATCCGAAAAATAAGTTATCCGAACCACCCCAGTCCCCAATTGATTCGGATAAACGACGCTCTACTGTATTTTCACTTGTTTTTGATCTTAGGCCCCTCTTCAGCAAGTTTACAATATTCTATAACAATTGTATAAATACATTTAAACAGTGATATTAGGTGCAACAATATTTGAGATAAGATACCCTGTTTTTTTGGATGCTTTATGTCAGTATTAGTGTTGTATTAATATTGGACAGTAAAGAAGTAAGTAATTTTTATCTTATCTCAAATATTGTTTCTAAATAAATAATATTTTAATAAAATTATAAAAATAATACGTTAAAAATTTTGTTTAAATGTTAAAGTAAATATTATTTCGTATTAAAATTAAAATTTAGTTTATTCCAAATTAACATGAACAGTAATTTCCACAAAAAGTTTACATGAATATTGTATTTGTGCAAATATATTCCATACATATACTTTACAAGCATTTACTTTTATATTGGGTTGGCCAAAAAGTTTGTTTGGATTTTTCTGTAAGATGGCCATAATGTTTGGTTGTCTAACTTCATTCAAAGCAATTTTGTTAGATTGTACTGTGACATCTGTCATAGCATGCATTAAAAAAAAAATAAAACTTATCAAACTTGGTGAATTTAAGTGTAGCTACTAAAATAGCTACACAAAAATTTGAAGGTGGAAGAAGAAAATGATGTTTTCAGCATATTTTGTTTTTTATTCAAAAAAGGTAAAAATGCAACTAAAACACAAAATAAGGTTTGTGCAGTGTATGGAGATGATGTTGTGACTGTCAAACATGTAAAAAATGGTTTGTGAAAGTTTTATGCTAGAGATTTCTCACTGGACAGTGCTCTATGTAGACTAGCTGAAGTTGATAGCAATCAAATTGAGACATTGAGGATAATAAATGTTATTGTACATAATGCAGGAGATAGCTGGCATACTCAAAATATCTAAATTAAGCATTGAAAATCATTTGCACTAGCCTGGTTATATTAATTGCTTTAATGTTTGAGTTAAACATAAGTTACCTTGTTGACTATATTTCCACATGCAATTCTCTACGTAAAAAAAATGAAAACATTCCATTTTTATAACAAATTGTAACAGGTAATGAAAAATGGATACTTTAGAATAATGTGGAATGGAAAAAACTGGGGCAAGCAAAATAAACCACCACCAACCACACTAAAGGCCAGTCTTCATGCAAAGGTGATGTGTTTATGATGGGATTGGAAGAGTCCTCTATTACAGTAACAGTTCCTTCTGGAAATCCAGACAATTAATTCCAACAAGTACTTTTCCCAATAAAACCAACTGAAAGCAGCACTCAATAAAAAGTGATCAGAATCAGTCAACAAGAAAAGCATAACTTTTCATCAGAATGATGCAAGACCACATGTTTCTTTGATGACCAGGAAAAAACTTGCAGATTGGCTGAGAAGTTCTGATTCATCTGAAGTTTCACCAGACATTGCACCTTTTGGATTTTCAGTTATTTTGCTTTTTTACAAAATTCTCTTAATGGGAAAAATTTCAATTCCCTGGAAGACTGTAAAGCCATCTGGAACAGTTCTTTGCTCAAGAAGATAAAAAGTTTTGGGAAAAGGAATTATGAAATTGCCTGAAAAACGGCAGAAGGTAGTAAAACAAAATGGTGAATACATTGTTCAATAAAGTTATTGGTGGAAAATGTCTCTTTCATTTTTACTTAAAAACTGAATGAACTTTACAACCCAATATTTCCTGGATTGTTCAAAATTTGTGAAATTATACAATAGATGATAATATACTAAATAAAAATTCAAGTATCAATTGTAATAACCATTTCTACATATATTTCCTTCAATTTCTCTGATATCTCATTTAATAAAAACAGTTCAACTTACTTATTTTCAGATGACTGCCATTTACTACTTGTAGATTTTCCCATCTTGTTGATGTCAACTGTAAAATTATAAATATATTTAAAATAATAATATAAAAATAGTTTTTTTTTCAAAAGATTAGTTTTAAAAAAATAATAAGATTAATATCAAAATTCATATTTATTTTCAAAATCTGTAAATGCAAAATAGTAAATTTTAATAATATTTTTATCATAACACTTTTCCAGAAAATATAGTAAAAACTTTAAACTCATCAAACACTGGATTCAATGTTGAAAAAAAAATTTTTCTGTAAAATTTGTANTGTATGCATTATAACAATTGGGCACAGGTTCTGGTCCTGTAATAAATTATAATGAATAAAAAAAGAATACACTAGATGTTTTGTGAGAAAAAAAAATGCACTGTATATCAGAAGAAACTTATTTACAACTAAAAAGGGACTGAAAACAGAGTTCAACAATGTTCAACTTCTCTGTTTTGCATGCAAGACATTTTTAGAAATGGTGGAAAGAGTAAAAATATATATTGTTACTCTTTCCACCCTGTGGGCACTAAGAGAACCTTTTTTCCAAGCCATCATGGGTTTGGCCATGCCTGGTTGATAAGCCCACCATATCTGGGATTGTCTGCCTTGATTTGATCCATGTTCTCTAGAGTGGTAAGTTTACATCTTAACAACCTTAGCCATGTTAACCATATAATTTGGAAAATGTAGCATTAATAGTTTTATTTTAAAATATATAAATATTTTATTCTTTTCAATTAAAAAATAACTGTAGTATTTGAAAGAACTCCAAATACTTTAAGTGTAGACTTTAAAGAATTTTATTTTTCAGTTGCAAATAAGTATTCAAGATTTACTAAATTATTTTTGAAAATTTCACTTTTTAAATTTTATGAATAAATTCATAAATACACATTTACAATTTCCTAACATTAATGCATCTAGATTATGTAAAACATAATTTCTGAAATTTCTATATATTAAACACTATCTTTATATGCATTATTATGTTTTACATCAGGGGTGTCCAACCCATGGCCTGTGGGCCGCATGCGGCCCAAGGCAAGTTCCAATGTGGCCCAATAAACGTGTAAACAAAACCGACAAATTTTTATTATATTTATTTATTTAAATGACACAAATTCAAAAAAGATGTTTCACAAAGCTGTAAACCTTTATACATATTTTACTTTTGAGCTCAGGGGTGTCCAACCCATGGCCTGTGGGCCACATGTGGCCCAAGGCAAGTTCCAATGCGGCCCAATAAACTTGTAAACAAAACCGACAAATTTTTTAATTTAATTTTATTTATTTATTTCAATGGCATAAACTAAAAAAAAGTTCCACAAAGCTGTAAACCTATATATATATTTTATTTTTGAGTGGAAAGGAAATATTTCCAAATACCTGGAAATGTATGAATGAGGAAGGAATACTAAATAACGCTAAAGTTGAGACTCAAAGAATTATAGACCCAAATTCGGGGAAAGGAGAGAAAGACCAAAAGATAAAAAGTAGTGANAGACCCAAATAAAACAAATATTTGTGTTTTTCAAATAAATTTTTGTTTGTCTCCTTTATAATAAATAAATTTATCTATTTCTAGTAGAAATTAAAAGTGTCTATAGAAGTAATTTTTTAAAATATCCTTTTTCATAATAAAGTTTTAATACTTATTACTATAATCTAGACATGTAAAATCTAGACAGGATTGAGCCACAATAAACTTGTGGCCCAGAACTCCATGGCTTCTTCCAATGTGGTCCAGAGAAACAGAAAGGTTGGTCACCCCTGTTTTACATAATATATCATCATACTAAATCATATAAAAATTAAAGCTAAAATTTGTTATAAATTTCTTTTCTGTATAATTTTGAATTGCTGTGAAGTATGTAATATTTTTTAAATCAAGAATTACTTTGCCTTCTTGATTGATCAATATTTGATAAAAGAATTAAAAATAATGAAAAAACTAAATTAGTTAATCAGTTACTGTAAAATAAAGTTACCAAAATTATTTGATAATATTTATTTTTCAAATACTTACTTGAATCATCTGGAAGACTACATGGTACAATAACAAAATCCTATAAAAAAATCACCACTATTAAGATAAACCTTAAATTCAATTCTCAAATTTTAGCAATATAACAAAGTCATTAAAAGAATATTTTCAATAAGTATATATTAAATCAAATTTTCAAGTAAATATTGGATTACCATATGATACTATCAAATTTCCTATAAATTTTTCATATGAAAATAATATCAAATGTGTAAACTGTTTACTGTTGTATCTGAAGATATTATTGGCTCTATGACATCAAACATCTTATGTTATTAGTTGAACATGTGCAATATTGGTTTAACCACATTGCACATGTTCAATTAATTACACAAGTAAGGACTAATCAATACAAGTAAGAACTTCAAATTATACAAATATAGTGAAAAGTGTTTTTATTAACTTGATTCAAAACTATAAAAGTATAATTGTAAATATATGAAGTTGATAATGTTACAATTAAATGAAAAGAAAAAACATTGCAAAACTTACATTTGATTTTAAATTCACAACTATAATTCAAAACTTTATATTTGTTTTGTCTGAATGGTAAATAGTTTTTATGGTCTTATATTTTAAATACACTCAGTATACAAAAATTTAGCATCAAATTTATCATCTTGATTTTAACTTAATTTAAAATTAAGAAGCTGTTAGAAGCATTAATGTTACAAAATCAGATCTTTAAAATAACAATCAATTTAATGCTTCCTTAGCATTAACATAGTTTTATGAAACACTTTCAGCTGTTAAATTTTAATGAAGGTTGATGAAAATGACCAGATGTTAATTAAGTATTATAATAATTTATATTACATAACATCATGTGAGATATTTCTAAATACATCAATAGAATTCTACAGTATTCATTTTCAGTATAAGTTAATGCACTCATTGCCATAAAAATTAGCACACCAAGAAGTTGTTGAAATTGACAAAATTGTACATGTGTGAGCGTAACAGTGGTACAAGTAAGTGATTACAAAATAAAAGCAAAAGGACCATTTATTGCAGGAAAAACTAGAAATGAAAGGAAGTTCTAGTACCCTATTGGACCACCTCCAGCATGAATATACGACAAGAAATATACTTTTCCAACAAATTTTTAAATTTTACTTCACACTGATCTGTCAGAAAGTAATTTGAATAATGTAACAAGTAAAAATTTTGAAACACTTTTTTATTTATATACTGCTTTGGAATTTTGGAAAATTTTTCTTTCAATGGTGAGAATGGTTAATTATTATTAATGTAATTAGTTAATATTAATACACTTACCTGATCATCTATAGATGATAATGGACTTTTCTCATTATTATTTAGTTTACCAATAGTTGTTGATGATTGTGATAAATCATTATCTCGAGACCAATTTGATGGAATAGTACCTGAAAATGGTAAACCATTGGATGTATAACTTGTAAGTGGAGAATCTGTGTATGCATTATAACAATTGGGCACAGGTTCTGGTGAGCCTATACATATAAAAAATTTAGATGAAAGCTTATAATTTAATAAATAAATGAATTAAGGTTAAATAATAACACATCTAAAATTTATTAATTTTTTTATTTCATAATTAAAAAATACTCATGTAAATTTACACATCATATATTTATACTAAAATTAGATGGAGAAATATCAGTACATTATTAATAGTCTGTATTCTAGAAGTAAAATCAGCAGCAATGTTTTAATTTCATCAGAATGAATATCATCATCCTAACTTTTAAATGACACCTTTTAGTCTATTTAATTTTAGGTAATTTTATATTATTTTCAACTTTGTTTTGTTCAAAATTTATCAAATTAATTATGAAAATTAAACTAAAATAATTTTCTAACAAAGAAACATAATAAAACAATATACAATGTTAAAAATATTTTGAATAAAAATCAACAAAATTTAAAAGGTCAAATAATGCTGCATTATTTTTCTCCACTTACACTGAGACTTAAAGAATTGAGTTTTAAGTCATAATTCAGAAATTCATGATTAAAACAATTTTTTATTAACTAAAATTAGAAGATATTATTAATTAATATTAATTATTATTATAAATTCATTTTATATATATATTTCTATCAATCTAATTAACTTTTGCATTTAAGATAATTGTATCTATTATGTCAGAATTTTACTTCTTAATATAGGGTATAATAGAAAAGGTGGTCACAACTTTAAGAGGTGATAGAACATGTCAAAAGTAACAATTGTCATAATACAATGAATGGTGGAAAGTGAAATGTAAATGTGAAAACACAGTACATAGAACATGGAAAATAAAAAGTTATTTTAATCATGGATATTTACAAAAAATAATGTTTTATATTTACAAAAACTGTCCAAATGAATGACCACCAACTGCAGTACATGCATCACAATGGTGACAGAGTGATTGGCATACACTTTGTAAGATACCCATAAACTTTTGTAAAACTTTGTAAAAAAAAAAAAAAGCATATTGGTAAACTCTCTCTTTCATGTGATCAGAGAAATGGATGTATTGTTCCATTTGATTAGAGAAAATAAATACATTATTGACCAAATTGTATGCTTAGTGTGGCTGTATGCAATAGTATAATTTTCACTTAGTCATAGTTTTAGATTACTTCATTCTTTGTTCTTACTTATTTCTAGAACTTTCTATTCTTACTCTATTCTCTTGGATGATGAGAGCCAATTCATGGAACCATGTGAACAAAGAGGGGCACGTTGGAACAAAAGAGGACCTTTTCTCTGCTGGTCTTCATAAAGTAAGGATGAAGATAATGATGCTGAGTGCCATCAAGTATCACCGAGATGGGTGAAACTGAACTGGCATGAGAAGGATCAATGAACTTATTGAAGTGATAACACAGTGAGTCTCAAATCTAGGAAAAATAATGACGATGACTCAAAATCAGTCAAGTGAGTTCCATGTGGCCACTCACAAAAGTTGTGTAATGTTTGTACATCCTGAGTATTCAATTCTGTTCTATCCTATCTTGCTATTTCTTCCCTACCCTTTCGAACTTCCTTCTTCTTTAGTATAAGTCAGTTTTAAGAATTAGTTATAGCTTATCCGAGCTCAATTCTTTGTATATCTCATGATATTTTGTCTTAGTTCTGTCAACATTTTGATTTTTTTTTGGTGACACCATGTTACTGTTCATTGTTTTTGAGTTGGAATCCTTAAGAACCTGCATCTTTTCTGTAAAAATAAATAAATACTTTGTTCCCCCATCTGCTGTGCATGGCTCTTTATTTAGTGATTTGCCTTCATTGGCTAACAGTATTCTCATCTCTAACTTCACAATAGCCACTCTGTCAGGACCCACATAATGTTCACCTTTCAAAAAAGACATTAAAAAAAAATTTTAAATGACATCCACATAGGCCAACTGCTTGAGCCTGACCAAAAATTGTTCCATAATAAAAGAGGTGGACCTTCTGCACACATAATGAATAATCAATGATTTTTGTTATGTTTACAATGTATTTGATAATTATTTTCTTTCATGTACTAACAGATTTTCAAAAATGTTTTTAACTTTTCAGTTTTTGATAATCATCCAATTTCCGATTACAAATTACTTCTAGCAGAAAAATTTTATTTGACATTTTAATTTTTGAATTTCTTGACAGATTCTTGATTTAAACATTGTTGAAATTTAACTAAGTAAAGTGTTATTTCTTTTCTTGGATGTTTCTGTCTATATTTTATTATAGTTAATATAAATTAAGCAATAGTGTATTTAATAGTTCTACTGCTAACATGTAATTATCCATTTAAGCTCTGAAATCTCTGAAGAAATGACACTAAGAAATAAACATTAATAAAGTAACTATTTTAATTATGATAACCAAATTTTCAGACATTTCCATACAGTTCTTTATTTTTTACCTTTAACTGTACAAAATCTTTAGCTGTTATAGGAATAAATATTGTATAGCAGAAGATAATATGAGATAAAAACATGAATTTTAGAAAATATCAGATTCTTAAATCTATGATCTAGGTCAGGGGTAATGAACCTATGGCATGTGTGCCCAAAGTGGCACGTAAGAAGAAATCATCTGGCATGTAATGTATTATATTATTTTTATTTATCATCTAGCTTTTTCAATCATCCTTTTGGTTTATCACCTGATCATTCTTTTTTCAATCAACTTTTTTACATTTATTCTAATTTAATCTTATTAGTTTAATTTTTTAAATATCATTATTCGAAATTTAAAACTTTGGCATGCATAAACATCTTTGAAGCTAAGTATGCTTACTGTATGGCATGTGGGCTTAAAAAGTTTGCCATTTCTGATCTAGGTTCTCTTACATAAATTTATAACAAATAACTTTATGAAAAATTAATAAAAATTTGTATATTAAGGACATTAACATGCAGTATTTTAACCTAATCTTAGTAAAATTTGAAATCTGAGTTGATTTGTTACGTATGAAGTAGATAAGTCCTTCAGAATAAATACTAATTAAGCTAAAATTTAAAAAATAAATGTTAACACTAATAATTCATTCATGTTTATTCTTATGATGTATATACAGTTTGAATTATATGATATTATACAGAGGAAGTTAATAAAAAAAGAAACCAGCAACGAGTTGCTCAACTTTCCCAGGCAACTTTTAAAATTTTAATGGCGTCATCTCTTATCATATTATATTAAAAAACTATTTATATTTTTAACGACAAAAAGCTTAATTTTTAGAATAGGGATAAGTTTTNTGCATTTTGATTATTACAGAAATTTATATTTACAATATTTTTCTTTTTGTAATTACAATGTAATATACTGTAATTAAGAAAAGAAAAATAATTCAAAGAAATTAAGTATGAAAAAATATTTATGCAAATTAACATTTATTTTTAGAATTTGTGAAACAGTGCCTCAGAAAATAAAATCTGATATTTGAAACATTTTCCTCCTGTTTGTACAGATGATTTCTTTTCAGAAAACTTGGACAACATTGTTTATCTATTCATGTATTTATGAATAAATGCTCAATGTTGTTCGAGTTTTCTATATTATGATATAAATAAAACAATACTAGTCTTTCTAGTATCTTTTCCCTAATCTAGTCTTTTATTTTTTGTTTCTTATCAATATAAATCACATAATTATTTCATAAATGTAATACTTACTCAATTTAGTTGTTAATTTTAAGAAAGGATGGTTAAAAAATTCATCTGAAAAATAAATGTAAAATTTATAATTTTGTCATTTAATAAATTAGATATGATATAATATTAATCTACAAATTATATCATAAATAGTTTTTAATATTTATATTAATGATATAATAATCTCAAAGTAAGATATTTTTATTATTTAATATCAAAATGGAAAATTCAAAATAATAATTAAATATTAAAAACTAAACATATTTATTTTTTCAAATTTTGCTTTCATTCATGTCAGATCTTTAAATAAAAAACTGTTAGGAATGCTATTGTGAGGATCGTAGGTCTGATTTTACACAAATTTCAGAAAATTCATAAGCCTATTTCTCCATTGCAATCGTAAAAAAACATCGCACAGGAAACGGATTGAATGACACCCTTTACTATCAACAACTGGGAGAGAACTAAACAACCCAGTGTTAAAGGAGGAGAAAGTCGATAGTCGACTTGTGAATAGAAGGAAGCATACAAGTTTAGGACCAAATATGGTCATGACAGTTGCATGTGACATAGCATCATCAAATGAGACCCTGACCTCACACCTGCAGATTTGTTGCCAAACAGTCAAAGTGCCCACCAGTGGCCAAGTGGTCTTTGTACTCTGAACACTGGGAGTTTGATCATGTGTTTGTGCCTTGCTTGGATGGGCTGGCCATGTGACGTTTTCTGGGTTTTCTCCATGTCTGTAATGCCTAAATAAGGACCAGTTTTCCTTAAAAGACCTCTCGGAAGGCATCCCCCTAGGCAGATCGCCCAAATGTTGCGTTGCCATAATTTAACAAACAAACAAACCAAATAGTCAATCACCTGATCATTTTCCCAAGCTAAATTGATAAAAGAGAGGCGAGAACTCAAGTCAGGGTGGACTACATTGGACGCCATACACATGCCATACATCTCCAGCCACCCTGTTCCAGTGGATATCTTCAGAACATCATAGCCAGTTCAACATATCCCAAGATGCCATACAGAACAAATTCCTTCCAAGACTCCCTCCTCGCTATTATCATAGAAGATGACGGCTTGAATTGCCTTATAAGAAAAGAAAACATCAATCACAGTTACCCTCCACAAAGACAGAGAAACACATCTCTCTCTGAGGTATTTTTGTAAACTCTCTCTCAAGAGCGAATAGCAGATAGAATGCAAACAGAGTGTATAGATATTTAGTCATGTTGCCTTAGATGTATATTCCGTATTTCTGTGTATGCTTATAAGTTTAATATAAACATCTAAATCTATTTTTATTTGTTAACCTGGCTACTTGTCTATCAAACCTTGGACACTTATTAACTTACTCACTGATTTCCCCACTCGATAATTTAAGGCCCTCCTATTTCAAGCCATCCAGTGACCCTGAGATGGGTTTTACCAACCTGAGGCCAATCAAGGGTTAGGTTAATCGTGGCTAATCTCACACTATTATAAAAAATACTAAAAGATCATATAATTGTATAAATAATGTTTCCTAAATTAATATGTATTACTAAATTTTTAAGAAATTGTACAAATTCAAAATAAAAAGAATTTTAATGACTTAATATTAATTTATTTCATTTATGCAAAACAAGTCATTACTATCAATAATACCACACAGAACAATCAATTTGTTAGATTTTTAAAATTTTTGATGATAATCTATCACAATCAAATTCACCTTTTTACTCTTTACAACAGATTTTATTTATTAGTTATTATTCTGAATATCTTTTCACTATGGATAATCAATCAAAATCCTACTTTAATATATTATTATGCATAAAATACAAACCTTCAAAATGATGGTAGATAAAGTATGATATGAATAAAAAAAAGAGATAAAGAGAAAGAGATAATTGATACATACATATTGAACATTTACCCTAACAAGTTAATTTGGAAATGGTTAAAAAAACTTATATGTTTTAGAAAATAAGCATACATTGGATAATAACAAGAACAAAACAAGAACAAAACAGACATCTGTCTACTGAGAATTTAAATTTTATTAGTTCAACATGATTCAATTTCCTTTTGAGCTTTTAAACTTTGAGCATCTATATTCATGTATATGTATTTTGTTGTAATGTCTGAACAATTCTATACATATATATAAAAAGAATTGACATATTAAATTTTTATAATTTCTAGTTCTAAAAATATACATCATCATCATTTACTTCATATTTGAAGAAAAACTTCATTAGTATGAAAATTAATTTCACATTAAAATTTTACAATATTAAATTTTGCATGCAAATAAAATTAATAATAAAAGGTCAACTTATATTCAGATACTAATCTTTTTTATTCCTACTAATTTTTTATGTTGATAATTCCTCTGATTCACAGGATTCTGACATTAACAGAAGTCAAACAGAATTATTCAACAAAAACCAACAATAATCATAAATTAAAATTCATTTTCCTAAATCAGTGTAATTTCACATTTACTGCAGTGAAGGTTTTGATAATGTTAATCTCTTATGTATTGACTGATATTTTTTTGTATGTTCTGTAATGTATGCTTAATATTAAAGAAAATACACATTATTTGAGCTTATGTAAACTATTAAGTTATTAAAATTTCTTTCAATCTTAATTTTTTCTTTTATTAGCTTTATTTCTATTCATTATAAAAACATATTCATATAACCATAACATATAAAAATAATATTCCTTACTCCATAAAAGTATTTTTCTGATAATTAATAAAGTGATTAATTAAAAGTATTTCATAATTTTTAATTTTAAATAAAATTTTACCAAATTCCATTCGATCTTTCGCATTTCTCTTCAACAACCTCAACAGCAAATCTGTTAATGATGATGATGTTCCTGCAGGTATTCTATAATAAAATATGTATATAATTATTACTTATAATTATTCATATTATGGAAAAATTATAAATACTTACATCATAATTGTAATTTACTCAATGCTTACATACATACTGTTTCACAATAAATTTTAACTCTCCTTAAAAATTTTACATTGTTAAATTTGATGAAATATTTAGTAATGATAAGGAAAGTCTTACAAATTTCCTCATAACTGTTCAACAGTAAGATTAATATTTATTACAAAGAAACTTAACTCTCTATAAAATAAGAATGTAAAAGCCTCTGATAATTTATTTGCTTGGTTTTCAATGGAAATGTGTCACATGTAATGAGGTGTGGTTTACACACTGTAAAAAGAGAGAATTTTTCCACTAGCAAATCTGCCATGCAACATCCACATTTGTTTGTGATTTTGTCAATTGTTGACCAAATATATGAATCATAGAGATCAATCCTGATGTCTGACATTACCTTAAAAACAATAGGCCAACAGCCAATTATTATTATAATATTTTTTTCAAATGATTAAGAATTATGTTCTATTAAATGAGTAGGTCTACCTTTCCATAACAGTAATCCTAATAAGTTCTTTGTAATTCAGATTCATCTGGCATAGAACATTTGCCCCACTTTTCCAGGAATTGCCTAAATTCTGGAATTTTTAACTTTTTTCCATATGATATTGGCTATTAAAACATAGTATACATATCTAAACTAAACATTAATATCTTTTGTTCATTTGGTGCAGCTGTGAGTCATAAGTTGTTACCTTTTATAGCATTCTACATTTTCTTTATAAATTTGTGTCAGTATGATATTTTAACTGAAATAGTTGAGGTACCTTTTTGTGGTATGGCTGGCAGAAAATTTTTCTATCTATGGTAAACACTATGTGGGAATTTATTACCCACAATCCTCATTTAGATGATAACAATGCTGCTTCTTTTAGCAGTGTTTAGCTGAATCACACAGAAAAATATCCAGTTAATAATGTCGGATAAGAATACAAAGTGAGTTCAAGAAGTATGCAATGTCTTACAGGCTCAGCTGTCAGTGTGTGTCAAGCTCTCTCTCCTCTCTCTTTTATTATTTATTTGAATATTCCAATCACTATTCACATCATTTGCAAATCCAACCATCTTAACAGTCATTTTCAATTGTCACTTGGGTAATAAAAAACCAAAACACACCAATGCATGCAAAAAAATATGGAAAATATGTTATAAAAATATATTTATGTAATTTAATATATCATATGTCACAACCTGTAAAATATGGAAAAGCATGAAAATAAAACTACCCTGTTTCAGTTCAGCAAGTGACAAGGACTTCAAATATGAAAGTTACACCTCACTCCAAATAAGCAAAAAATTCTTTTTTGCAACATATAAATCAGCTCCCTAATTATGACCAATGTTAAAGTTGAAAAATTTATCCCTGATCATAATGTTGCTTTTGTGTTGCCACTTTGACTTTCAGAAAAGCTAGAAGTAGTATGCTTTTATTAAATGATGTAATATAATTGTTATTAAATTCATGGGACCATAACATACTTTGTATTACATATTAATCAAGCTTGTTAATATTAAAATACTTATCCTAGTCTATAGGACTGCAAACCTATATCACATTAACATGGACTTCACATAAACCAATATTGTAACAACAAAGTTGACTATATTTAGTTACAAAATATTGTAGAATTAAATATTTGTGGCATATCAACAAAATTCCTGTAGTATTCCTATTCTCTTCTAATAAATAAAAATATCTTTTATCTGCTCTTATCTGTATTATAGTGGTTCATACTGGAACTGACATATGATGTTCTCATAACACAAAACAACAATATTGATTCTCATTTTGAAATAAGTTCAACTCAATAAGTTAATAGTGTATAAATCAAAGTGACATTTGGTCATCATTTTTTATTAATAGATAAATCAATAAAATTATTAAAAAAATCATTTATGTTGCAATTATATTTCTGACTTATATTGAGTAAGTATAACCATAGCATAAATTATTTTTTATTCAGTAAATTTCTAATATAAAACAATAAACTCATCACAAATTTTTTATATAAGAAAAAATTTAGTTTGACTTTTATACCTTATTTTATTCAAATGTAAGATAAAAAAATGAAACATTATATAAATTCATTTCTTGAAAACACTATAAATGTTATAAACCAGCCTAGCTTATTTAATAATAAACCATTTAGAATTTATTTATTTATTTTTACACATAATCAGAAGTCCTAAAATACAATTGATATTTGCCCCCAAATGAACAAATTCACAAACATAAATATAAATATAACAAATAAAAGAAAAAACCAACAATTAATTAAAATTAAAATTGTATAATGCGTTTTTACATTTTAATTTGAAACTAGAAAAATTAAGATATAAAAAAAATCATCAAAATTGTTTAAGTTTTCAGCAATACAATAAAAAAAAGACCTTTAAGATATACTCAAATGAAAACTTCAAAGTTCACTTCCACCCTAGCCCAGTTTGCAAGTGAACCTAGTATAACGACCAAATGGGAAGAGGTGAAGATTATTATTCCTATGCATGACAATAGCAAGCTTAGAATAGTTGAAACCATTGAAATATTTGTGCAATCCCTCAAAGAGAGTTGTATCAACAGCAGAGATGCAGACTCGCTCTCCTCCACATGGAAATCACTCTTTGACAACCCCTTAAACTAAATAGACCAACCCACCCTCACATCTTCATTAAATTCATTAAATTTTATGAAGAAATAATCTATTGTTAAATCGAACATCACCTATGCGTACCTCTAAATACCAAGAGAGAGTTTACAAAGATATATATTAATACCTCTGACAGACTATTACATTTGGACCAGTCAATATATAGAGCTTCCTTCTGGTAGGGAGACAGATGATGAGTCAGAGATGGGCTATGCTCTCCTTACGGCTTCCGTGATTCTATATGGCAGAGTCCGTTTATGGCCGCTTGCCTTCTATGACAGTCTGTAGATCTTTAGGGTCATTCCCTTCTATGATTATCTGCTTCTATGCAGGTCTCCTTTCTATGACTGTCTGCTTCTCTGCGGGTCTCCTGTCTATGACCATCTGCTTCTTCTATGGCAGTTTCTTACTATCGTCATCAGTGGCCCTGTGATCGTGATTTCTCTCCTTTTTATTCTAAATTTCCCTCCAATCGGGGTTTAGAATTTGTAACATCTGATGAGATATTCGTTCTGACACATGTGGACAGACATTCATCAGAGATGTGTGATAGCATCTCTCCAAATAAAGTTTTTACTTCCCTTTCCCACAAAATTGATAGAAATGTGTCAATTTTGACATCAATTTAATACTTTGAAAAAACTTCTTATTAAAATAAAATTATTCCATCTCTGGACTCTCACAAATAGGTTCATTATTTCAAATCTAATTAACAAAAATCAATGTAAAAACTTTCCTTAGAGTGGACAGTATTGCAATAGGTCTATAATTACTGGAACTGGTTCCATCTCCCTTTTTATATAACATACAAAAATAAGTGTTGTCAATTATTAGGAAATAAACTATATTTGAACATATGGTTAAAGCTATGTAGCTATGTGCTAACAAATCATAAGTAATACTGGTTAATTTTTTTAAGATGGTAACTGGTATTATTCAATAGATTTGGACCTACTGATGTATTATACACACACACACACATATATATGTAAATCACAATTCATTTTTAATCTACATAATTTATACCAAATAATTAATGTAACATTTTAAGAACTTAGAATTAGGAATATGTATTACCTGGGAACCAAATTTGAATTTTTCTCATAAAATTGTTTGAGTGCTTGAGGAGTTTGTGCCTGAAAATAATAAGTTATAATAAATTTTAAGATGTAAATTAAATTTTAATTCTGAATTATAAAATTAGTTAAATTTTAAAATAAACATTTTTAAATTGATTAATAAAGCAGTTTTTATTTTTCAAAATATAAATATTTTGAAAAATATTTATATTTTGAATTTTTCTAAAACATACTAACTGTACCTT